ATAAGTAGAATATTATAAATAGAATAAATATATAACCCATCACCAAAAATCCAATTACATTTGACGAATATTAAGTCAGAAACAACTCGCACTTCCAAAAGATGAAACTTTTAACAATATATTGAAATGTTTACTGGTCAAACTCAAACTCACCATTTTCACTGCAAGTAGTTGTCGTCTTTTCTGCAGAGCTTACAGACTTTGACGAAGTCCCAGCTAACTCTAATAAACGACCAACATACACGGTCAGTTCAGATTCAATGCAAGAAAAGACGCGATTACAATTTTAGTATAGAAAATACTACACTGAAGTGATCTGAAAAATTTCTAACTATGGCCGTTCACTGTTCAAGTAATGTAATTCTTCTTGCCATCGAATATTTCATTGATTCGAAAGGAGAAAGACAAAATATAAAACTTTTATCAACTTAAAACAACTACTCACCTTCGTTTGGCTTGAAAAAGCTAGTAATTTTCTTCATTTCGTCTGATAAAACTGATAAAAAACTCTGCCGGAGCTGGAAGTACAAAACACGCTGCCGAACGAAGCGAAGGGGTGGCCAAGGCATGGCGTTTGATCAAGGGGCAAGTCGTCCCCAGGGCACAATAACCGCGAAAAGAACAAGAGCCCCACAAAATGCCTGGCGTTTGAAATTAAAGAAAATACAGAGAATATAGCGGAATATAGACGGAAAAAAACTTGTTTCAAGTCTTTTTTTTTATTTTAATTATTTTTCTTTTCAGCGCAAAAAGTGGGGGCGGGGGCGCAAAAAAGCGGTGGGGCCGCGGCCCTACCAGCCCCTCCCCCTCCGCGGTCCCTGTATTTTATTCCACGGAAAGATTACGATTCAGTTTCTACATCAGATTCGTTTTCGTTCAAACAAAGCTACAATCCTCGCCAAAAATCCTTAAAACACCCCTTTTCCCTGAGCAAAGCACTGTGAGATTCTTTTAACACTCGCATTACTGTTGCTGCAGATCGGCCGACTTTTCCTGCAATTTCTCTCAGTGAATACCTCTTTTCCATGTACAGAAATCTGATGAGCGCTCGTTCTTCCGCCGTTGCTTTCCTATTGTACACCATACTTACTTTTCTCACTCAGCTACGTGACAAATCACACTTAACCTTTATGTCTCAGTATAATTCAACTTCTTCTACGCGAGACTATTTTGGGCAGGCTGTATTTCTATCTCATTTTTTAGGCTTATAATAACAGTTCCAGTATTTCCACAGAAACCTAGAAAATTAATGTTTTTCTTTCCTTGCGTCAAACAAAAGTTACAGCAACATTTACCGCGCTATCGCAATCTTTCTGGACTATTCACGAAAACTACTTAACAATACATGCCAACAACTGATATTAACCAGATGGCTTTTTGCCAATATCCTTGAAACACCCCTTTTCCCCGTGCAACGTTGAGATGACATTTCACTGTTTCACTGGCTACAACAACATTGCAAAGGGGAGGGGTACGGAAATGGTGCCAGAATGCTCAAAGTGTTTCAAGGTTTGTGTCTAAGATTGTCTGAATTGGCGGGAAGATTTTTGAGCATGCGCAGAATATGAAAAGTGAAACTTAAAAAAAAATGATCGCTATGGCAGCGCGTGGCTTGTCTGGTTGTTGTGGTTTTGTGAATGTGCGAAGAGGGATTATAACTTGGGTAATTTTTTTGGATAATGGTAACTTCTGAAGTAAATTATAACTGCGAGCATGAGGGTATTGAAGACAGATCAGAGGAGGAAAGTGAAGAGGGAAGTGAACAGTTGGAGGATAATGGGTGTTCAGAAGAGCTAGACGTGGGATCTCAAGAGAGGCTGTTGCATCGCGAAGTGCGTAGCGTGCATTTAATTACTTACAGTCAAGCCTACCTTGACAATTTCAGACGAGAGACAGTTCTGCTAGACCGGCTGTGGAAGCATTCGATGAGACAAGGAGCGGGTTAGCTGATATTGTGCAGTGGGTTTTTAGTCAAGAGCGGCATTCTTCAGGAGGCACGCATTACCACATGGCGGTAAAGCTCTCGCATGCACGCCGATGGTTGCGAGTAAGAAATTATCTCGATGACAACCATTCCATTCAAGTGAATTTTTCGTCTGTTCACTCCAATTATTATAGCGCCTGGAGATACACAACAAAAGAAACCATATCCTTTAGCGCGACCATCGCGAAGTTCTACAAGTTCGGTTTATCAAAACCCTTTCTCAAGTGGCTCTTGAGCTATCTATCTGGCCACTCTCAGTTCGTGCAGATCGACGATAGGAAGTCCTCGTACCAGTCAGCTCAGTTTAGCGTTCCACAGGGATCCTTCCTGGGACCGATGATTTTTAACTTGTTTGTATCAGATCTACACGAGGTCACTCAACCATCGATGGAATGCGTCCAGTATGCGGACGAAACCTCACTGTACAGCCATTTTAATGTCAAGGAGTTAGACTCAAGAGCTGTGGACATGAATGAGACTCTTGTAAGTATCACAAACTGGTCCCAGGACTCCAACTTGGCGCTGAACCGTGCAAAGACCAAGTGTATGTTGTTCTTAACTCCTCAGATGTCGTCTTACCATTTTCTAGCTGAACGTCCTATACATTTATCTGTAGGAGATAAACCCCTCGAGTGTGTTCACTACTGAATTACTTGGGGTTCACATGACTGACACCTTGAAGTGGGATGATCAGATTAAGCATCTCGCCTCATCTTGTGATGGTGCCCTAGCTGCGCTGAGGAAAATCAAGAACTTTACAAACTACCATCTTAGAAACATTTAGTTGAATGTCTGGTTCTATCTCGCCTAGACTTTAATGATATAATATTCTATCCAATAAAACTGATTGCCTTTTAAAAAGGTTACAGCGCATCCAGTTTGCAACAGCCAGTTTTGTTTTTGGACGCTATGTGAACAATATTGACTCTATCCTTAAGTTAGGCTGGTTGCCTATGAAAGAACGTAGAGAATGGCACGTTCTAAAGGCCGCGCACAAAGCTATATACTCTCATGACTGGCCCAGAAACCTTCAGCTTGAGCAAGTAAGGCATGCTAGAAATTTACGGTCATCAAGTACCATAAATCTAGTTATTCCCTATGCGTCGGACACTTTTCAGTATAGCGCGGTAGCCCTCTTCAATTCTCTGCCATCCAATGTTAAATGCTATGATAATTTTAAATCCTTCAGTAAGCAAACATTATGTATTTTAAGGGAGCGCTGCCTGAATAGGGTGCAATAATTTCTTGCATAGTATTAAATAATGTATATATTGTATAATTAATTTTACTTTTTATTACCTAGCTTTTTTACAAATTCATAATTCAGATTTATGTATTTTTTTTCCTTTTAAATTCCTTATTTTAATCTTATATCGGGCGAAGAGCCATACCATGGATGTACTGATATTAAGCCGTTATTATTATTATTATTATTATTATTAAGATCCGAGTATGTTCGGTCTGTAAATCCTCCCGATTTGGTAAACAGCGCCCCACCTCGAACACAAGAGGCCAGTCTGACGACAACGGAACGCGGTGGAACGAAGAGAACAGCCAAGAAAACCAGAAAAAGAAAGACACTCCGTCTCAGTATTTTCGACGTGTCTAAGCTAGTCGTAGCAAAAGGAATAAAGTCCAGGCTAGAGCTTCTTGCTCTAGCCTCTCGACAAATGAAAGAGGGAAAGGAAGATTTAGCGCAATTCATCGCTAACAGAGGAAGTAAAGTTGTTGACGAGGCCATACAAGTAGGATGGGAAATGGAGGAAGCAGAGGAAAAATTGAAAAGGAAACAAACGACAAGGATGGAAATACTGCAAAAAGCTCTTGAAGGTCCATGTAGCGCTACCGGCAATGGAGAGTGGTTGGAAGTTGCAGAGGATACTCTCGCACGGAATAACCTAACAGGTGGCAGTTTTCAGAGTGCTGTACGCGAGCTACTTGAGAAAGGACGTAGCAAGTACAGAAATATTCGTGGTGCGGGAATGTTCAAAGTGTTTCAAGGTTTGTGTCTAAGATTGTAGGTTAATATCTGGAAAGGCAAAGTCAACATCCCAGTCCTCAGGGTTTACAGACGTATTTTAAAGTATATTTGGTCAAAAATAAGAGCACTGTAAGTGTTCACTCGCCCATGTGACGTTGGAGTGTTTCGAAAACTGGACATTGTGTCTGGCTCGGAGTCACTTCTATCTTTCTTTCGTTGGTCTTTGGAAAAACACTGCAAACGACAAAGTAGCTAGTCAAGATGATCGAGTGCAGGCATATTTGTTATCATATATGTCGAAGGAATTACTCATTTCATCTTAGGAAAAACAACTCGAATTTCTGCCAGTCGATTTTCGTCTTCTTAACTGTGTTCTACGATAAAAGGTTTAAACCACTGACTAGAATCCTCTTCGATAAGATTACGAGTTAGCTTCTTGATCGCCTTCATTCACAAATAAACACAGCTTAAAATGTTGAAGGACAAAGTCAAAATCTAAGTTCTCAAGGTTGATAGACGTCTTGTAACTTAACTTCAACCTTTTTTCCGAGGTAAAGAGATTTAGAGCTCCGAAATGAGCATTTTCTTTGAAATTTTGGCCGTATAGCAAGTTACGGACCGCAAATTGACCAATCGCATGGCGAAAACAGACTCAGCCATATAATAAAAATACTTACTGACTTGTATAGATATCTTCAGCAAGTACGCTTTTGTGTTACCTTTGAAGACAAAACAGGGTCAAGAACTGGTCAAAGCCTTTCAAAAGATCCTTTCTAGTGGTCGAAAACCTACCAAACCGCAGACGGATCAAAGAACAGAGTTCCTGAATCGTGTGTTCCAGAAATTTCTGGGTGACAACAACATTGATTTTTTACTGTTAACTCTGGGCTCAAAGCCTCAGTGGTTGATCGTTTTAACCGAACATTTAAGAATAAGATGTACAAATATTTCACGGCCAAAAAACTCTTATCTATCAGCAATGTATAACCCTAGTTAGTATCTTCTTACAATAACACCTACTACCGAAGTATTAAAATGAAACCGAGCCAGGTGACTAAAGCGAATGAAGCTCAAGTGTGGGATACTTCGTATGGAGATGATGTTCAAAAGCCTGTGCGATTTAAATTTCAAGTCGGAGATTGCGTCAGGATTAGCATAGTTAAGAGAATGTTTGAAAAATCTTACTTGCCTAATTTTACGGAAGAAATTTTTACTGTTTACAAGCGAATGGCTCGTCAAGTACCCGTTTATAAACTAAAAGATGATGCAGGTGAAATCTTAGATGGAACATTTTATGAGCCTGAATTGCAGAAAATTATTAAGAACGATGATGTGTACCGCGTCGAAAAGATTTTGCGGAAGAGAAAGCGTAAAGGAGTAGTAGAGTACCTTATGAGATGGAAATGATACGAAGACCCAAAACTTGATTCTTGGGTTCAATAAAGTGATATTTTGAAGTTGTAATTTATGCGTTTTTTGTGTAGTGAATAAAAGAAAAGAAAATAATAAAATGAATGGTGTGTAGTTTCTAATAAATTAAGAATACCCAGATTAAAAAGTTCATTTCAACACAGGGTACGATGGAGGTAACACAGTTTCAACTGCATCTCCCTAGCAATAGCAGTCTTGATAAATTTCCTCATAACACATTAACAGAGTACCGAGTTAGTTTACCACAAACCCTAAACCTTACAGGCGAATGGGAAGTGGCTTTGACCGAGATCCATATTATCCGCATAGCTGGAATAATTTTCAGCAGTTTCGATTTTACGTTCGAAATGAAAAACTCCACGGCGTTTGGGACTCCCTGGAGATGCTTCGGGTCATTATTCTTCCGTCGATGGTGTCCTTCAAAAGATGAAAGAGTTAGTGGACAATCAAAATCGGTATACAGATGATGTACGGTTTTCATGCGATAATCTCAGCAGAAAGGTTACGGTTCATTTGAAAAACAACGCAGAAGTCTCGCTAAATGATATGGCCTGTATGCTGTGGTTCAATCCCAAAAAAATTATTTCAAAGACCACAAAGGGGGACAGACAAGTGGATTTGGAATACGGCTTTCACGATCTTTTCGTTTACTGTGATCTTATTCAGTCACAATATGTTGGCGATGCACTGGTCCCTTTGCTTCGAACTGTTCCTGTAGAAGGAGAGGTTGGTCAGCGGGTCAGTAAATCTTTTGTGCGCCCTCAATATGTACCTGTCAGCAGAAAGATATTGAAACCATCGAAGTCAATATAAAGGGAGACACAGGGGAATCTGTGCCATTTGAGTTTGGAAGAGTGTTGTTAACACTTCATTTTCGTCAGAGTCAACCTGAGTACTTTTAAAAATGAAAAAACTCCACGCCCCAAATCATACGTTCTATGAACTGCACTATGTTGATCAAGCCAAGCAAAAAGGTGGGAATTTACCCGCGTTTCACGGAGCTCGATTTCAGCGAGGGTATGGCTTAGGATCCATATTTAAAGGTCTGTTCCGCTAGGCGATGCCTCACCTGCAACAAGGTGCTAAGGTGATTGGAAAAAAAGCTTTACAAACGGGTGTCAATGTTCCCCACGATGCTCTTGATGGAGATAATAAATTATTAAAAAGGCAATCGGCAAACAGGCTAAACAAGCCCTCGGTCTACCTGCCCAGAATTCATTGCAGGGAAAACCAAGAGCTGGCAAAAAAAGCTATAAAAAGGAAAGCGCAAGGAGCCAAAATCAGTTGACCTCCCGGCAAGAAAGCAAAAACATCTCTGCAAGTGAAGAAACCTAAAAAAAAGGCTTGAATGGCCTTCGTTCATCACGAGTCACGTGAGTGTACTAAATCAGATCTTTTTACTATTCCTGCGACACAAACCTCTATTCGCAAAGGGCAATGGATTGAATATCACCCTCTCAGCAACATCACGGACTCTGGTCGTATTGAATTTAACGTATCTGGAACCGGAGAAGAATATTTAGATTTAGCGCGAACACAACTTTATGTGAAAGCTAAGATCACGAAAGCAAACGGAAACGCGTTAGATGCCGGTATACAAGTGGGACCCGTAAACCTGCTTTTACATTCCCTGTTTTCACAATTGGACGTTTCCTTGAATTAGCGACTCATATCTGCATCCACTAATACTTACCCCTATCGTGCCATGATCGAGTCTTTGCTGAACCACGGGGAAGAAGCTAAAACAAGTCAACTTTCTATGGCTATGTTTTACAAAGATACTACTGGAAAGATGAATGTAGTGAACCCTTTGACTGCAGACAATGACGCAAACCTTGGATTAAAGGCTCGTTCTGAGTTTACCAAAGAGAGTCATACGGAGGATATGATGGGACCCATTCACAGTGATATATTCTTTCAAGGCCAGTTAATGCTCAATGGAGTTAATTTAAGAATCAAACTGAATCGGGCCAAGAATGTTTTTTGTCATGTGTCCTCAGCAGCCGCAGCTAATTTCAAAGTGGTTATCACAGAAGCCATCTTGTTTGTACGCAGAGTCAAGGTTGCTTCCTCTAGGCCATGCAGCTGGGCTAAAACACTCCAGCGCCAAGTACCCCATTCGCAGAATCGACTGTAAAGTACTCTCTATTCCAAGATCCAGGAGCGATGACTCAGCTTCTCTTGTAGCGTCTTCGCGCGGGCTTGTGAAGAGTATAAACATCTTGCTGACTCAACCATTCTCGGACTTTTTTACGCGATATCTTGTTCTTTCCTTTCTCTTTGACTGCTCTGTAAACAGCATCTAACCAACGAAACTTGCCGGGTTGATTTGGGTCGCGATAAATGCTGAGCAGTGTTTTCTCCATCACAGAACTCGGAATTTTTTACGACCACTCCACCCCCACAGCAGGCTAATGCGCAACGAATGCTGCTAAAGATGTGTTCAAATCCAAAACTGGACGAAGGAGGACAGCAACCCATCGCTGATGATCGCTATGAAGGTTCAAACCCAAATGATTTCTTTTCTCTTGGTGTTTACTTATATAGCTACTCTCGAATCTGGGTGAGAGTGGGCACGAGAAAATTAAATAATAGTTCCCATTCCTCCTCGGTTAATGCTAGCTGATCCGCGAAGCACAAAATACCACCAATCGTCCCCAGTTTACTTTTGAAAAGACCTCAGAGTGGAGTTTTTTCACCTTTTCTAGACTCGAACCCTGCAGATCTTTAAATTTTTGTTGAAGCACTTCCATTTCACTTGAAGACACTTTCAATGTTTTGGTTTGTGCGCGATACGGAGAAAAGTCGACTCGAAGCAAAGACAGAGAAAGCCCCATCTTGACTAATACAGAGACAAACGCACACTGACTCAAAATTTAGACAAACAAATTTTATTATTTTTAGAAACAAAGCTTATTTTGAATGTCATTAATTATTAAGTCAAGGTCCATTGGTTGTTCATCTTTCCTCACAACTCTCTCAGGGCAGTGCATTTCAACTTGGTTGTCAATTTCCACAGCACTGGGATCTTTGCACTTCTTCAGTCCACAAGGTCCGTAGTAAATAGCATACAGAATTGGATCTTCTAGCACACCATAATCTTCGAGTTCCAAGAAAGTGAGATAGATGCTAGTCCAACGCAGCTTTGGTAATTCGGTCACGTACGCTTCCCACGTTTTGCCAAGTTTGAAACCAAGAGCACTGCACACACTTTCAGCCGTTTTTAAGATAACATTGAGGTCAATTTGTTCCACCACTTCATCATGGTAATATCTCTATCTCTATAAATATCTCCAAATAAAACTTTGCAATCTTTTATAAACGTTGCTGCATCACCAAAGATACATGTTCCTGTTACAGCTGCAATTATACGTTTTAACCATAATCCGTGTTACACTGCGTAGAATACATAAACCTTTAGGAGAAAGTCCACATTTTGTAAGTCTAAATATACCGTTCTTAGTAAAGGGTACAAAGAAAGTCAGTTTTATAAGTTTACAGTGATTGTAGCGAATGAACCATACACTAATCAATTGTACTTGCAAAAACCGACTTGGTTTCTCTTTACTTTCGTTTACTTTGATACCACAGTATACTAAGAGGTTCAATTGATCAAAAACGCGCTAAAACAAACGAAATTTGAAGACAAAACAGTAAAATCCACTCAGCCTTCGCTTGTTCTCATTGGCCTCCATGACTTTCCGAAGTTTTCAAACCGTATGGCGCATGCGTGAAGCGTAGAAGCGGCAAACATATGTTCGGTCTCAGTCTTTTTCGTCGGAGTCGGCAGTCAAATATCTCCACGTCGGGCGAAGAAAGATTCAAATATCCCCTCTCCCGGGAGAACAAGATCAGTCAAATGCCCTACCCCAGGGACAACAAAGACAATCNGGGGGGGGGGGGTGGGCCTGAGCATTTGGAAATGTGCTTGATAAAAAACACATGACCTACCCCCTCCCTTCGACACAAAAATGACTGACCCACCCCTAAAGCAAGGTTGGAAATTGCATGACCCACCCCCTAGTTAAAACATGGATGTTCGGTTTCCCCTTAATAAGCTAATAAAATCTTGTTCTGTGCTTGACACAATTTGTCGATACACTGCTACAAGCAATATCAAAATCACAGAAATCATACCTTTCACTGAAAAGACGAATGGCGAAAAGACGAAAAACCGAACATTTCTTGTTTCAATGGACGTTATGAGTCTTGACACAAATATACAGCAAAACGAGGGTATATTGAAATTATCTGTCACAAAGCACATGAAAATTTCAACAAAGACAACCCATTCCTAGACATTACTTACCGGAATTGCTTAGATTAATCCTCAATGAAAATTTCTTCCACGTCAGTGGAAAGCAATACCTACAAAACCATGGAACTGCAATGGGCACAAAGACAGCAGTTTTGATTCCTTTGCCAATATTTTCATGACATATATTGAAACAACAACTCTAAGCAAAACTGTCTTTAAAACAACAGTTTGGAAATGCCACATACACGATATCTTTTCCCTATGGGACATGAGTAAACCAGACATCGAAGCCTTCATTGAACAAGCAACCTTACATCACCTAACTATTGAATTCACGGCCGAAACCTTTGACGCTGATACTGCGTTTTTAGACACGGTTGTATACAAAGGCACAAGATTCAAGGAAAAATCTATCCTTGATGCAAAGACACATTTTAAACAAACGGAAAGCTTCTTATACACACATTTCACCTTGTGTCACCCTCCAAATGTTACAAAAGAATTTGTCAAAGCAGAAGCCTTAAGAATCCTACGAAAAAACTCCTCAGAAACAACCTTCGAGGAAAATAATTCAAATTAAAAAAAAACGCTTGACGGACGGAGGCTACCCACAATCTTTCAGGGGCACCCAACGTCAATTTTCGGAAAATATCTGTTCGAAAGACGATTTGAGATCTAGAATTTTTGGAACCTTTGTTGTAAAATTTCTTGCTTGTCTGCCCCTCCTAGGATTTTCGAACATTTTAAAAAATTGTATAATATTATTGCCCATTTTTAAGGGATTTTTACCCCAAGGTCACCTAGAATTTTCGGGAGCCTTTTTTCTAGCTTTTTTCGTATCACTAGACTTTCAGCTAGGAGATCCGAACAGATGAAACATTTTTAGGGGATAAAAATATGCCTATATCTACTGTTTAAATACAAATTCTCGTTGGGTGCCCCCTATCTTTGATAGAAAACCTACTATCAGAAATAAAATTCACAAAAGGGAGTCTAAACTCCTAAAACAAAACAACAAGGAGGAAAAAGAAATATTGCCATTTGTGACACAATACCAGCCCTCAGTGTCTACTATTAAGGAAGCTTGAATGAAAAAATGGAATCTTATACAAAAGCAACTATAACGTCAATAAATTTTAAAAGAACCACCAATCATTTCCTTACAAAAAAGGAAAATCGTTAAAGGACATGCTCGTTAGAGCCGAAAAAAAAAAAGGTTGACAGAGGGTTCCACGCCCGTATAGATGTGCGGCCTGTCAACCTTTGTATTTTCTCGACAACAGGTTTGTGAGTATTTTAGCAATAATTCCAGCTGGCTGTGTTTTATATAACAAGTGTAGTCAACTATCTCGTTAGTAGTTAGTAAAAAATAGGGTGACCCACCCCCTAAGGGTAGCTGAAAATTGCACGACCCACCCCTTGCACAAGGCTCAAAACCTCATGACCCACCCCCTCTCTGCTCCGGCCCACCCCTCCCCCCTATACTTTTTGACCAGTCCCTAATGGATTCTACATGAGCCAATCAGGGTTATAAGAGCCCGGGCAAGTCTAGGCAAGTCTATTGTTTCTATTAAAGCAGAGAGACGTTCATTAGTAACCCTATACCGAATAATTATGCACGAAGACCCTCATTAGTATAGAGGAACGCATTTTTCCCCTAGGCTATAACAATGGGTGACGTCATAGACTATTCCTAAACTGTCCTTACCTATCCCTAAACTTTCCTTACCTATCCACCGACGGGGTTAATTTTGCTGAAGCATGACTACTTGGTTTGCTAGCAATGGGACAGCTTTCTCGTCGAGTCTCCTATTTTGTATCTAGCCTTCTTTATACCTATTTTAGCTGCTTTATTCAGGACTTTTTGTCTTTCCCTTCGTCTTTTGCCTTTAAAACCTTAATTTCTCCACGATCATTTTACCACCAAACATTCGGAATTTTCCAGTTTTTTAGCAGTTTCTACAAGCCAGTAAATCGAAGTATACATACATGCTTATGCTCGCACGTAGCTGAACGTTTTTGCGTTAAGAGGGTTTATCTTTCGCGATATTCACAAAAGACAAGGAAGGAGTTCGAGAAATTCGGGCTTTCAAATACAAAAAAAATATGGCTGGAAACTATACTCGCGTACGCGCACCTTTGGGGCGGAAGTACAGAAATCGAATCTTCGAGTCAAAAGATGGCACAGCAAGTATGAAAATATATAGTGAATGAGTTTAAAAGACACAACTTTTGTTTAAATGATTTGTTTACCAAGTCCAATCATACTGAAATGCAGACTTATAAAGTAGAGGAACGAACTTTTGGGACAACCCGTAAAAAGCTTAAAAAATACCTGAAATCAATAATGTTTTTTTTTCTCGTAACGACGTTTGATTTTAGACCAATTACATTTTGGTTACACAGTGTGGTGACTCCGTATTTCATATAACCATGCGCGCCCGGGGGGGGGGGGGGGGGCC